CATCTTAGCCATCTATGCATGCACGCACGCACACACACACACACACACAAAATCTGTAAGGGCAAACAGGTTTGCTGGGAGTAGCCCGACTCGAGTAAAGACAGATGGTGTAAGTGAGCTGGATGAGGTTGCTCAGCTCTGGAACTTCTCCAGTCTCACTGGAGGCTGGGTATTGTACGTGAAGACTGTCCCATGAGTGGGGGATACATACAGAGGCCACCATGGGGCAGTAGCAGCCAGAAGAGAATGAATGGTGTAAAGGGTTGAATAGTGGCCCCCTCAAGAGAGATATGCCCAAGTTCTGAACCTGTGAATGTGACCTTTTTGGAAATAGGATCTTTTCCCAAATAAAGATCTTAAGAAGAGATCATCCTAGATTAATGGTGAGCCTTAAATCCAGAGACAGGTATCCTTCTAGGAGGAAGGAGAGGGAATTTCAAGACACAGAGACACAGAGGAGAAGGCCATGTGAAGATGGAGGCAAAGACTGGAGGCGCCACTGCCAAGCAGCACTGCAGATCGCCTGCAGCTGCCAGAGACTTGGAGAGAGCTTGCCACAGGCCCTCCCTCAGAGCCTCCAGCAGGAACCCACCCTGCTGGCACCTTGATTTCAGGCTTCCAGCCTCCACAACTGTGGTGGAATGAATCACTGTTGTTTTGAGCCACCCAGTTTGTTGCAATTTGTACGGCAGTCCTAGGAAAGCTAACAGGCAGTCCAGATAGGAATGGGTGGTGAGGCAGAAGGGATCTGGAGGCAGGGGGTGGCAAGGGGGCCCAGCGTGTACCCCAACCTAGACCACCCAGCCCTTCCGTCACACCGGCCCCTGCCCCTCAATGTTTTGTACACTTTGAGGCCTGATCCAGGGATTTTCCCTTTCCCTGGTGCCACGGCTCAGCACTGCTTCCCCCTCGGGGCTGCATCTTCTCAGGACCCACGACTGCACAGTCTTGAGCCGCAGTGCCTGGTTTCTCTCTTGCACCACCGTTAGTATCTTCTCCCTCCCCTCTCTCTCACCGTCTGCGGAAGTGCTTTGTATACAGTGAGTGCTTAATAAGTCACTTTTCTCTCCTCAGAGTCCCCTAACTCTTGCCCCAGCCACTTTCCCTGCTCCAACTGAATCTGTGCCCTAACCTTGTCAGAGACAAGGATAACGTCCCCCATGGCTCCAGTGTGATGGCGTTCCCTCCCCTCCCACACAGCACCCCGGCCCCACGTTCCCCACAGGAGCTTGTGGGGTGATCATTAGCCCATGTGCCTCCTGACCCCACTCCCAGTCACTAATTTGTGTGTAAACTTGGACAAGTCGCTGCACTCTGTGCTCTTTAGTTTCCTCTCAGGTAAAATAAGAGGGTTGGAGGAGATACATTCACCCATGCATTCCTCCACTCGCTGTTGTTTACTAAGACTGTGAGCCATAACTCTGCCTTCAAGGAGCTCTAGTTCTATAGGGTTTTTGTTTTGTTTTGTTTCTTTGAGATGGAGTCTCACTCTGTCACCCAGGCTGGAGTGAAGTGGTGCGATCTCCGTTCACTGCAACCTCCGCCTCCCGGGTTCAAGCGATCCTCCTGCCTCAACCTCCTGAGTAGCTGGGATTACAGGTGTGCGTCACCACGCCCGGCTAATTTTTGTGTTTTTAGTAGAGACGGGGTTTCACCATGTTGGCCAGGCTGGTCTCGAACTCCTGACCTCAGGTGATCCACCCACCTCAGCCTCCTAAAGTGCTGGGATTACAGGCGTGAGCCACTGTGCCCAGCCAAGGTTCTGAGGTTTTAAAGCTGCCACTTTGGAGAATCTGTCCAGGTGCAACGCAGGCATTCCTTCCTTTTGTGTACCCTTTAGGAAGCAGATTTTGGCTCAGAATAAGAAAGACCCTTCTACCAGAAAGGCCCACAAACGGACAGGCTTCCACAGAAAGGGGTGAGCCCCCGGTCCGGAGGAGTCTCTGGGATTGCTTCCAACTCTGGGATCCTGAGATCCTCCGTAAAGGGTTTATTGAGCAGGAGAACCAATTTAACTCTGTTCCCATGAAAATAAACGTGGAGATTTACTTCAAACTCAGCAGCTCTGGTGAGAAGGCTCTCACACAGGTCCAGGTTAGACCCACACAGACTCCACGACCCTCTAAGGCAACTAGCATACAGCAGACGAAGGAAACGATTCAGGTGTCAGAATTGCTTTTATTTTTATCTCCAGTCAGTCACAGACCCCAGGAAGGTGAGGCCAGGGAAGGGAACAGGCACGGACACTGGGGAACTTGCAGGAGCTGAGGCCAGTGGACAACAGGACTGTCTGGGGTATGGCAGCCGGGCTGTGTCCCTGGAGCTGTCTGCCGTCAGGGACTCAGGAGAACGGCTCAGGGAGGGCTCGGGAGGGGGTACACTGTGTCCAAGAGATGCAACCATCGTTCGGCAAAAGTGAACAGTGGCGGCTGATGAGCAGATAGGTCTGGGGAGATCTGAGGAGAGCTGGGGGCCAGATCCTGCCCCCAACCTCCAGCCACATGGGCCCTCGGTGACTCTCCCAAACCAGGCTCTGTGTTTCCTCAAGCAGCCACCGGAGGGCAGCAAAGTGCTTGTGCAAAATTCCAACCCGCCCAGGAGAGCAGCCAGGACACCTGGGACTTGGCCTCAGGCGGGCCAGGGAGGGAGGCACGGAGCCTGTTGGAAAATGGGTGTCTGTCCCATCCTGACTCCCTCGGAAGGAAGAGTAGGGAATGGAAGAACTAAGATTCCGGAGCTTCCCCAGGTGATAACAGAAGGAGCCATGCGTGTGCCCAGGAATGAGTCCCAGACTCGCACCCTGGCCCCCATCTGTAGCTTCCAGGAGAGGACTTCAAGGGGAGACCCCTCACCTCGTATTCCAGACGATCAGATTCCTGGCTGCCTCCAGCTTTACAAAATCCAGCCCACCCTTTCCTGGGCCCAGCCCCACCCAGTCCAAAAATGTGAGTGGCCTTCAGGCTCCCTTCCTCCTTTACAGCTTGCAACACCTGCTCAGCTGCGGTTTCCTTAATCCTGCATTCCTGTTCCCCCACCCTTCCTCCTTCTGACGCCTCTCCTGGTGTTTCAGGGATCCTCACTGCCTGGATTGGAGATGGAACACACAGTCTTTGGCCCTGACCCCGCTGCCGACACTGTGGTACCCGGGACGCCCCGCTCAGGACCCAGAGCAGGAGGCTGCAGCATCTTCTGCCTGGCCTCCCCAGCTCTGCAAAGAAGCCATTTCTCAAATGGCTGTGATGCGTGTGTGATGTTGTTTATAGCTGAGGACCTGTCCCTCCTCCCCCAAGCTTTTGGCACTCAGCCCTGAATAAGCTTTTAAATCCCCAGTTTTTCTGCAATAACTTATCCCAGGGAGAGGAGAACTTGGACAAGTAGATTCTAGGAAGCATGACCAAGGCTGTCTGACAGTGGCAGGAGAGTGGGGTGCTGGGACTAACCCCTCTGGAACTGAGGCCAGAGATGAGGAGAGGAAACTGAGTGGCTTGGAGGAGAGGAGGTGAAGGAGGGTGGGAACCAGGTGAGGAAGTCAGTGGAAAGAAGTGTTCTGGTGCCTCTCCCACCCTATCCTGGCTATGAACTTCCACGTGGCAGATAGAAAAACTGAATCCCAGACAGCAAGAAACTCTCCCCTAACACCAGGAGCCCGCTGGCGGTGAGGTTAGAACCAGAAACCAGAAATCTTGCCTCCCAGTTCATGTCCGGAGGATAGAAACCTCAGAGCACAAAACCTGGCGAGGGGTTTCAGGAAAGACGGGAGGCTGGGTGGCACTGAGGACAAGAAATCCCCAGGACATCAGGGCCTGACCACCCACCTCTCTGTGTTCTCATGTGGTCTCATTCCAGCCCCCATCCAGGCCCATGGGCAAGAGTGATACCCTGTTTGCGTGAGGCAGCTGTGGGTCTGAACCCCAGGCCCACCACTCGCTAGCCATACGACCTGGGACTCATTACTGAGCCTTTCTGAGCACCTCGGCTTTTCCCTCTGTGACGGACATGAGCGGAGTGCTGTCTCTGGAGGATCACTGCGATGGATTAATTTAGACCAGCACACAGTGGGCATCTCACCCGTGCCCCCAATGCCTTTGCTGCACACACACCACCCGCCAGTTCTTGGCTCCTTTTCTCTTCAAATATCCAAGATGGAACAAAACTTCAAATGCTTCTGCAATATTTCTTGAAAGCTGGGAGTAGGAAGGGTGGGGAGGGATGGGGTTGGGAAGGAACAGCACACCTCGTCACCCTTCCCAGGGCAGACGGAGCTCCCAGCACAGGGGAGAGAGAAGAGGAGGAGGGCGAAGCCAAGGGAGGGTTCTGCTATCCACTCAGAGCTTTCCTGTCTCCACACAGTAACTTTCCACTGGCCTCAAGCTGGCCACTGCACATGCTGGCTGCACGCTACCGCAGTGTGGCCTCCTGGTTCCCTCCCCACAGGCGCCCCCCTGGGGGTTGGAAGGCTGACGCACACCCTGCCTGAGATCCCAGCCGCCTGGAAGCTGATAAGCAGCCCTGGCCTCATTACATGGGACCAGCTGGAGGGACTGGCCCTGGCTGTTAGCATCAGCTGGATGGCTCCCAAATTGGAGAGATGCAGAGATAAGTGGGGGATGGGGGGGCACGTAGGGACTCTGGGCTGAGTGAGCGGCCAGTGAAGCTAGAAGAGATGTGGACTCTGCCAACTACGAAGGCCTCAGGAGGCCTGGCTGGGGACAAGCCAGCAAACAGCAGCTGACAGGAAGGGTTTAGGAAATAAGAGGTGCAGAAGGGACTCCCACACAGCCTCGGGTTAGGGCTGGGACAGAGCAGGGACTCCTTCCAGATGGGGCTGGCCTGGCAGCTAGAATGATTGCCTCCTCCCCCAGAACATCCAGCCGGAGGGCCCAAGCGCACCTCACTCAGCCTCAGGCCTGTGGCAGTAGCCTGGTGGGTGGAGAGAAGCGAGTGAGAGGATGTGGATCTTGGTTCTGCAACCCCAAATGCCTCCCAGGTGGACGCGGGTCTGGGTGGATTGGCTCCCCGGCTCCCACTTCCCTGGGAGCCCCAGGACAGGCCCTCACTGAGGAGCAGGGCCCCCTGCTCTCACCTCCTGCCCCAACAGTGCTCTGTCATGACCTGGGAGGGCCGTTCACAGCGAGCAGCAGACAGCACAGGCTTCAAATCCCTAGAACAAGCTGCTGGTCCCAGAGCCAAGAGAAGATGGGCAGCCTGGGACAGCCATCCTGCCCACTCACTCCACCCGCCCAGCTACGTCCCCCACCCCCTTTCTTACAAAGTGTCAATGCCTGTCCTGCACGAGAAAGACAGGAGGACACAGACTGGACGCAGGACCCAAGGCCACATGGTTGTGCAGCCCCAGGAGGAATTGTGGTGGGGGGTCAGGGCTCCGCTGGGCTTCCTGGGTCTCACTCCCGCATTTGAAATCCTGCTAGGCTTCTCCCCGCTGTCCCTTAGGCCCTCAAACCCAGAGGAGCCTTCAGCCTTGACCGTCCCAGTTTGGAAGATGTAACAGGGGGAACAGGGCGGCACAGGGATTGACATGGCCTCGGTTCCTCAGGGTCCCCATGGCGTATGTACAAGCGGCAGAGGGCTGGGCTGGGCTGGGGTAGACAGTGGCCTGGCCACAGCCTGGGTTGGCAGCTAGTTTTATATCTGGTCTTGTAGGAGCGCAGGGGAGAGACAGGGAACCAAGAGGGGTGCATTCTCCGGAGGACGGTGGGGTGGGGAGGGCTCCTCATTCCCGGTTAGTGCCAAAAAGCTGCAGGAAGAAGGTGAAGATATAGATGATGTCTAGGTAAATGTTGAGGGCTCCAAAAATATACTCCTCAGGGCTCAGCGAGTGGCGTCGGTTACCCATCAGCAACTGGGTGTCAAGTGCCAGGAACTGGGAGAAGTGAGGAGAGAGAGAGGGGTCAGAGGCCCAGGCAGTGTGACACTGACTATGGCAGCCCTGGTGCCCCCCTCAGCCCCACCCCCAATTTTATTACCCTCACCTGCTGCCTGGCTGCCCAGTGGCCCTCCTGAGACACCTTCTATCCCTAATTCTGTTCAGCAGCTATTTACTGAGCCTCTGCTATGTGCCAGGCACAGGGATACAGCAGAGAACAAGACAGCCAGGGTCCCTGTCCTCACAGAGCTTCGAGTCTAGAGGAATTGTTAGGATGATGAGTATAACAAGGTTCCAGGCAGCGGTGGGGCTGATAACAAGGAGCCTCACCTATGTGAGTGTGTCAGGGAGTTAGGGAAGGCTTCCTGGGGGAGGGGACCTTCAAGCTGAGGCCTAGACTTCTTGGCCATTCCCTCAGGACCCTGCTCTCAGAGGAAGGCGAATGCTTCAGGTACAAGCAGGGCCCAAGCACTTGTGCTGTACTGACATCAGCCCATCAGTGCTACACCGACATCCCCATCCAGTAAGAATCAGATTCTTCCTACAGGAAGTGAGGCCCAGAGACCTTAAATATTAGCCAAAGGTTACACAGCTGGAAGGTGGCAAAGCCAAGATTTGAACCCGAGCAGTCCAGCTCCAGAGCCCCAGGTGTAACCATTCTGCCCTGCTACTAACAGCACCTGGGGTTAATGCCTTTCCTCCCAGGAAGCAGGCTCTTCCCTGGGGACCTGCTTGGCCTAATGGACTAGGACCAGATTCCCTTTGAGACAGCACTGTGCCATCCCGCTGCCCCTGCCAGGTCTGCCCACTGTATACAGTGGCTCCTACCCCTCCCCACGTAGCTTTCCTCTGGGCTCCAAGCCTAGGGAGCAGAACCCTTGAGAAGTAGAATATGAAATTTGGCAGGCGTGGTGCGCTTTTCTGGAGAAAGAGGCCAAAATGTCCACCAGAATCTCAAAGGTGATGAAGCACTGATCCACGTAGGATTGGAATTGGGTTTTTTTTTTGTTTTTTGTTTTGTTTTGTTTTGTTTTTTGAGACAGAGTTTCACTCTTGTTGCCCAGGCTGGAGTGCAATGGTGAGATCTTGGCTTACTGCAACCTCCGCCTCCTGGGTTCAAGCGATTCTCCTGCCTCAGCCTCCCGAGGAGCTAGGATTGCCGGCATGCACCACCACACCCAGCTAATTTTGTATTTTTAGTAGAGACGGGGTTTCTCCATGTTGGCCAGGCTGGTCCCGAACTCCCGACCTCAGGTAATCTGCCCGCCTCGGCCTCCCAAAGTGCTGGGATTACAGGCGTGAGCCACCATGCCCGGCCCGGGATTGGAATTCTTTTACATTGATTCACATTCTTGTTAACTGGGCTCTTCGGTCACTTGTGTATGAAAGGCATGTTCCCTGGGTCCTCTGAAACTCATTCATTATACAATAAATATGTGTGGGGCGACAGCTGCATGACAGGGACTTGCTGAGAGTGGAAGAGACAAGAAACACAAAGCCATGCCTGCCTTGGGGAAGCTCACAGCGTCATGGGGGACACTTACAGGTCATTACAAGAAAATCCACGAAATGCACAATTAGGACTGTGAAGGAAGGAGCTACTGATTGGGCCAGAGGAAGGTGACCCAGGAGAGGTGGCATTTCACCTGAGGCTTAAGTAGGAGTTTGCTAGCTAGGAAGGCCTAGGGAAGCCTGGGAGGCCTGACTGGTGTTGTGTGAAGAGCGGAGAACTCGGCCAGGCAGGAACTATGGGAGAAGTAGACAGAGGAGGAAGGGGTTGGGGCCTGCCCTTGCAGCTTGCATTCTGCTCGGTAGGCGGGGGTCATGCCCAGTTCCCTTTCCTTCACCCGCCATGGACTCCTTGACTCCTAAGACCCAGACTTTAGAGTTGCTATAGATGCAGCCCTGTAGAATCCTAGTTGAATCCCAGCTCCGGTGCAATGCACCCCCATGTCCAAGAGGCCAGGGCTCCAATAGGGAGCAATTCCAGCACACAGGACATTGAGGCAGGGCCACCCTCAAAGTTGGGGAGGTGGGGGCAATTATGAGCACAGGCTTGAAAGTCAGATCCACTTGGACTGCAGGCTCTGCTCTACCACTCATTAGCTGTAGGACCTGGCTGGGCAGAGCATTTAATCTCTTTGGGCCTGTGAGTCCCTATGTGTAAAAAGGAGATGAGCGTGCCTGCCTCCTGAGGTTGTTGTGAGAATGAGATAATGCATGCAAGGGGCCTGGCACAGTGCCTGACACATGGTAAGCACTTAATGAATGCTTGCTATTATATTAATGTGGTTTTGTTGTTATTATCTGCAGAAGGAGAGGTGCCCTCTTGAGGACGTGCACACACTGCTGATGAGACTCAGGTGTCTCTTGCGTCTCATCAGGGAGGCAGCACTGTTCCTTGGGGAGGTCAGTGGCCTTAACAGAGCGAAAATGGGGAGCCATGGCCAGAGCTGAGAGGAGCCCTGTGCAGGATGTGTCAGGCTCCTGAGCTCAGTGGCACTGAGGAAAGGGCACTCCAGACAGGAACTGGAGTTGAAATGCCTGGGTTTGAGACCCGGCTCCATTGCTCAGTAGCCAAGTCATCCACTTGACCTCAGTGTCCTCGTCTACAAAATGGGATAGTAGCAATGCCCACACCACGGTGTGGTTTTGAGGGTAGATTTATGACAGTGTATGTGGCATCCACTATTTGTATTTTTGAGTATGATTTCTCTCCATTCCGCTCTGCTCCTTTTGTGTTTGATTTGGATTCCCAAGCACATTTTCCTTCTGCAGAGAGAATGAGCAGGCAGAAGGCCCAGTGCAAAGGCTTTGGCCACTTGGCGGTCACAGCTGCCAGCATCAGTTCATAAACTGCTGACCTGGCTGATCCATCAGTAGCTTGCTTGGTTGATTTCTCAGAGCCTGGTCACTCCTGGGTGAGCTAATGAAATTAAGTCTCTTAACTTGGAAGGCTTGGATCTGTCCAGCTCTGGGGGTGGCCCTTCTGAGAAGCACTCATGCAGGAGACCCCCTAGAGCAGCCAGCTGGCTTTTCTCTTGGAGAGAGGAGGAATGAAATGATTTCTGCCCCAGCCCTTGGTCCATGCACACAGATGCTTATCTATGTGGCATTCTCTGGGATGGCCTGCTTCAAATTTCAACCCCACTGCCCAGTATGACCCATCACTGCCACCTCATGCCTGGGAGTCAACCAAAGTCTTTTCATTCGTTTATTCCCAACAATATTTGCTGAGCACCTACTATGTTCCAGAGAACTTGCCCTCATAGAACTGACAGTCTAACGAGGGCAAAAGACATGATCAGAGAGATTCTGCATGGCAGTGCATTCATTTACAGGGGAAGTCATCTGCTGCTATCTCCTTGGAGATGGAAAGCATTGTTAACTAATGTCTTGGGTGAGAGCAGTTATCTTGGTTATAGTTAACATCTTAGTGGGTAGCTAGGATCTTGGCTGAGAGCTAGCAACCGAGTTGACTGCAAACCCCTAAAAGGAGGGCAGGTACTTGAGTTAGTGGCCAGCTGAACAGGAGACTCTGCAGGAGGAGCACTTGGGATGGGGCAGGAGGCCCCCAGGGACAAGGATGCTATTAATTTACATCTGAAGAGTCTTTCCCTAGACCAACACTTGATCTCTCATCTCCCTCTCCCCATTTGCCCTGGGAGGTGGACGTCCTCATGGTCTTACACATGAGGAAAGGAGTCTGAGAGCTGAGTGATTTGCTGATGGCTGCTTCTCAAGTGTCGTCTCCTACACTGGTGGAGATGGGGGAGGAGTGGGCTTGCAGGGAGGGAGGGAGCATGTGCAGGGGGCAAACTTCCCTGCCTCACCTTACTGGCCAGCGCTAAACCTCGTCGGGGCCCCCAGCCACACATTTGGCCTGACCCTGCCGTATCTGGGGCCCAGGCTTATGTCTGTTGTCCTCCCTGAATGTGGCCCCAGAGGTGACACTGAGGGGCTCTGGGCAGTGCATGCCATGGAAAGGCCAGCTCAGAGCCACCCGCAGGCAGGCACTGAATACAAAAAGCTGGGGTTGCAATGTGTTGAATCAGCTTAAACAGTGACACGTGGACTGTGTCTGTCCTGCAGAAATGCCAGTGTGACGGCGCGTGGAGGCAACCCCCAGGCTGTTGTTTGCAGCATTGGTTCTAACAGTGAGATGCTGAAACAACCCAAACTCTACCAACACGGGGGTGGTTAAATAAACTCTGGGCAGCAGTGCTGAGGTGGAAACATCTGTGACAGACGCTACTGTGAGAAAAAAGCAAGTTGCGAAAAATCCATATCGTATGATCCCATAAAACTATACATGTCAGAGGAGCCAACATAGCAAATATCTATGAAATGCACAAAGAAAGGTCTGGAAGGAGAGATAATTCATGGTTCCTGCTGGGGAAAGAAGTGAGGGACGCGATCAAAATGACATTTGCTTTTTTCTATATTTAAGATTTTCCAAAAGTGAAATATGTGAATAAATGTATTCACATATTATATAATTAGAAGTTTAAAATAGAAGGGTTAAAATAGCACAAAAGAAGAGTTCATGAACTCTTTCACTCAATTCTCACCATAAGCCTCTGCAACAGGTGTCTCACTATCAGCTCCATCATTTGCTGAGGACACTGAGGCAGAGACAGTGTAAGTGACTTGCCCATGTCACACAGCCCAGGGACAGCTAGAGGGTGAGCTTGGGCTTTGGGGAGTCTTTGGAGAAGAGACTACCAGCCATATGTCCAGGTGCACCGGCTGGGCTGCAGGGGAGTGTGAGGGGGTGAGGGAGGGAAGAGAGACCATTGAGTGGAGATCTGGGGCCCATTTCTTGCCTGATACCAATAGAAGATATTTCTCTCCATTGACCTGGGTGTCAA